AGTGGCTTTTAGACACCATTTTCCGAGTTACGTTGTATGTTATTGGTAGGTTTAGCGTGACAAACAAGTAGTCGGTTTGGTGTAAATGTGTTAATTGCTTTTCTCAAATGTTTGAGCATTTCCTTGAATTTCAAGCTGCAGCAAAGTCTGTTGGAGGGGGGACTTTGAGGCACTTCTGAATGCTTGTTTTATATAAGTTAATTTCACTTTAGGCTCGTTCTCAAGCCGATAACAGGAGTTTGGTTGGTGGATCAGAAGCAGATGGTTCTTCAGCCGGTGACAAAAGTGTGGGATTGCACAAGTCAGAATTAGATGAGACAATAGATATGGAACAGCTTGGAGTGGAGCAAGCAGTACCATTAGACAAGTGGGCTTCAACTGGTTAAATGTATTTGAACCTGTTGTGATGTGCTTTTGTCATTATCTGTTCATTCAAGCGTTATGAAGATTTTTAATCTAAAGTCTCTTCATTTTCTTTGTTTGCTTTAGTATAATTGCTTTGATGCTATTTTTCCAGTTACATTTTTATTCATTCAAAGCATTTTTAGTTAGGGGTAGATGAGTACTGTGATTATTATGGAAGTCTAATTGTTGCCAATTTTTCCGGAACGAGAAGTTATTGTATGCTATTCTTTTCGTGGCTGTAGCTCATCGTTGTCTTTTACTTCTGCAGTATCCTAAAACTGGAAAATTTTTTAAAATTGATTTATTTGTTGTGTTTTTGTGGTTTAAATGATGTTTCGAACCACTGTAGATGTTGAGGGTATGATTCAACAAATTATGTTTGAAGTTTTTTCGTGGAAGTGGTGTGGAGGTCTGCTCCCGTTAGCTCTTTAGTTGCGTAGACGTTGAATTGTTTCAATGAATTTTTTTGACAAATAGCTTTTGAGAGGCTTTAGGTTAGTAGAGAAGCAACAAGTTGAAGTAGGGACAGACGAGACCGTTAAAGGTGTGCCCGTTCCACGGTAAACGTCATATTTTATGTTTTTTTTGGACAAAGAGGCATTGCGTTGTTGTTTATATTCTTCGATGGTCAAAGGATACAGTTTTGCATGTCTTTGGTTCTCTAGCCATTAGGTCGTAGTTCTTCAGTTGTATTGCTTATTTTTTCAAATGTTTGGGTTCAGGAGGAATAGGTGTCTGTTATTTCAGGTTCTTTGTGTGTTTGGGGGAGAAGGTGTTGAGCGTTTTGTGGGTGAGTGGTGGTTATTCATTCGCTAAGTTAACTGTGCACGTCATGTTGCTATTACAAAGTTGTAGGTTTTCTTGGTTTCCTGGAATGGGGCTTGCTTGTCCAGATGTAGTTCCTTGTGTGAATTTAGTCTGGGTAAGGTTGATCTATGCTTTGTATGATTCCTGCTGTTTTCAAGGTGCTTTTATGAGGACAGTAAAGGAGGCTAGAAGTTAGAATGGCGAGCGGAAGGTTTTTAGTTGGCAGAATCGTGCATCTTTTGAAAGATAGTATAGTGGCTTTTTACGGTTGTAGGGTATGATGAGTTACAGAGGTATCTGTAGCGCATGATAAGCAGGTATATGTTTTGAGTGTTTTTCATTTTGAATTAGCCAGTTCTTCAGTTTCAGATAGTGTTAGGACTTGGGAATGTACATTTAATTCGACAGATTTTTCAGGCAGCTAGGTTTAATTTGAGCTGGGAAACCTTAATAATCGGTCTTGTTATTTTTGCTTGTTTACGATTTGCCGTAGCATCGCTAATAAAGATTTTTGTCGTTGTATTGAAAATAGTAGTTAATTATAAAAATCATTTCACTTGAGCAAAGTAATAAGTATAACTTCAGCCTCGTTCTTCTTGACCGGTAGGACAAAGAAACAGACCCTACTGGTGCGAATGGTGGGTCAATTGAGGGCGCTGGATATTACTAGCAGTTTAGTGTTAAAAGAGAAGTGGAAGCATTTTTTATTAACAGTTTCATTATGTCATTACTTTTTTTT